AGGTAACGTTAACAACCCTGAAATAACATAACTGTTATTATGATAAAATGGGATACATACTCGGCCTAATTGAAGCTGAAAATCAGCTGTAACCTCCGAATTCTTTGAAAGTGCACGGATTTGCATGAAAATTTAGAATAAGGCTATTATTTCCGCAAGGACAATTTCAAGGCGACTGGAGATATCACAAACCAAAGTTTGGCGGATATTGCGCGGGAATTCACTCAACCCGTACCATTTTCAAAAAGTTCAAGCTTTAGAACCAGCCGATTTCCCCAATCGTCTTGAATTTTGCAGTTGATTCCTAAATCGAAGTGCAGCAGACCCTAACTTTATTAAAACAAAGTGCGCTGGACAGATGAACGCTGTTTTACTCGTGCTGGCATTTAAACAGGTCAAAAACATACCACTTTCTCAAAAATAATAAGTATAGTGGTTACGAAGATAGGTGAAACCGTATAAAAACTAAAAGTCGGCATCTCTTTATTGCGCCCGAACTGTAAAAACTACCCCTAAGTGAAAAAAAATAAGTTTTAAGCATTTCATTGATAAAAATCTTGTTCAGGTACAAAGATTAAATAATGTTTCATGTTCTCGAACATGTTTTATGATATATTTGATCTTTTCGACGCTTTATTTAACCCTTAAAAACTACCCCTATGCAAAAAATAATGATAAAAAATTACTTTTTAAAGATTTGGAATGATTAAATCGTGCAATTATTTAAAATAAAAGTTACCTTATAGCTAATAAAAGAATTTTTCCCTTTCAACTCCTAAAATCCACCCCTGTATTGACGAAAATAATAAAAAATTACTTTTTAAAAGCTTGGAATGCTTTAACGGTGCAATTATTTAAAATAAAAAATATGAATAAAAAAAAGCAAAATATTTGTTGAAAAAAAAGCTACATATTTGTTGTCTATCATTTTTTATACATAGCTTCAGAGTTAAGTTATTATATAAATAAGGCAATTTTTTTTTATAATGAAAAATACGTTTTCTACTTTTACCGTACATAATTTAAAAAATACGCATTCTAAACCGGTCTAACTTCAGGATCGTATGAAAAACACTAAAACAGAACTAATCGTAAAGGGTCTACGATTAATTTTAATTCTGATGGGAATGGTACAGCGTTTACTGCTCATTTTTCCTTAAAAAATATGAGCAACCCATCTATTTTTAACGATAACTCCTTCAATTTTGCTCTAATTAAGTTTTATAAGTGCTCATTTTGAAGGCCTTTTTGAGTACTGTAAAAAAAACTCCTGGAGCGTTCTACACGTAAAATTAATATTTTTTCCATTATTTGACGTTGAATACATCGATTGGAGTATTCCCCCCAAAACAAGTCCCCTTCCACTAACCATCGGCTGTCGGACAAATGCGTCATTATTTAAAAAAATGCAATATTAATCTGAGAATTTAATTGTCCGACAAAATTATCGGTTTTTTTTTTGCTTGTCCGACAAAATTAAACTATAAAATTTTGCGGTTTCAATACTTACGCATGACGTAGAACAAAAATTTATATTAATAAAAAAATATATATGAATAAAAAAAATCTTGTTTAAATTTCTTAAATTTCAAAATAAATATGACTAATTTAAATTTATTTTTTTATACAATTACAAAAAAAATGTATACAGGGTGGTCCCAAGCTAATAGGTAAAAATTCATGAGTAGATTCTCGAAGCAAAAATATTGCGATTTAGCCGAACTTACCTTAGTCCTAAAGTTGATAGTTAAAGAGAGGTGTTACATGTAAAATATTATTTTAGTTTTTTGTCATTTATTCCTTAACAAATGCAAAATCCTCACAAAATTTTGAGGTTTGGAGTTCTTTAAGTAGAGGAACTGAAATGTGTTCACATTTTGGTTAAAGTTCGTAGAGGGCGCTAGCTGCAGCAGATTGAATGTGTTAAAAACGACATAACTTTTTTATACTTTAAGGTTTCTCATCTTTGGTATCAAATTCTTATTTTCCAAATTTTTTTACACAAAAATGCTACACTTTATAAAACTAGCTGTCTCGCACCGTTTTCGAGATATTTGGCTTTGAAACTTCCAATGCTGTTGAATTAAATTACAATTAAGTACCTACCTATTACTAATTTAGCGGTGAAGTTTCTTAAGTTTGAACGAAAATCAAATAATTGACATATTCCACTTGTCTTATTGCTGTCATTTGTATGCTACTGTCCATTAAGGGCCAAATTCAGAGACTTCCCTAAATCTATACTAACCTTTCACTCATATCAAACTTATTCTCCACTCAACTTAGGGTGCCCTCATCTCATTCTCAATTCTGATATTCAGAAATGTGTCTAAATGAGTGACTAACTTAAGTGTGCATCAAACCACAAATTACTAGATAAGGGAACAGTTGGCTACTCAAATATTACCAAAAATATAATGACATCAATGAAAACCTAATGTCACATTTTTCTTTATTTTGAATTTGAATGTTGAAAATATATAGGTACATAATAAGTTACATTTAAATAATAAATAATCAAGATCACATTAAAGTCTAATTAATTATCTAGGAAACCCCGCAATTTCAAAAAATTGTCGTTTCAATATTTCCGTGTGGGCTGGAAATTTAATTAGTCTTGGTAAACTTCTTGCAAGTTCCTCGCTAATTTCTCGGACAATTCTGCAGACCGAGGACTGACTGATTGTGGCTACATCAGCATAAACTTGCTGAAAAGAAATTAAATT